CTGCTGGGCTCCGGCGATCCTTCTGCCTCAGCCTTCCAAGTAGCCGGAATTACAGGCGCATGCTACCACGCCCGGCTGATTTTTTATTTATTTGTAGAGATGAGGTCTCACCAGGTTGTCCACGCAGGTCTCGAACCCGCTGGCTCAGGCCATCCCCTCACCTCAGCCTCCTGAAGCACAGGATTACAGGCTGAGCCACCGAGCCCGGCTAGGAGTTTATTTTAAAAATCTTAATTCTTGTTTGATATCTTAACTTGATCTTGCCAGAAACTGCAGCAAATTATGCATGTTACATTTCTTTTTATGTTTCTCAACTAACAAAGTAGCTTCTATTCATAAAGGGGGCCCAGAATTGTTTTTGCTGGGCATGGTGGCTCATGCTTGTAATTCCAGCACTTTGGGAGGCCAAGGAAGGAGGATCACATGAACCCAGAAATTTGAGACCAACTGGGCAAAATAGTGAGACCTCATCTCTACAAAAAGTAGAACAAACTAGCTGGGCATAGTGGTGCGTGCCCGTAATCTCAGGTACTTGGGAGGCTAAGGCAGAGGATTTCCTTGATTGTGCTACTGCATTCCAGCATTGGCAACAAAGTAAGACCCTGACTAAAAAAAAAAAGAATGTTGTGTTTTAAATTTTTTCCCTTTTTTTTTTTTTTTTTTGAGTTGGAGTCTCACTCTGTCGCCCGGACTGGAGTGTAGTGGCCGCTCCCGGCCACCGCAGCCTCGACCTGCTGGGCTCCAGCGATCCTTCCGCCTCAGCCTTCCAAGTAGCTGGAATTACAGGCATGCGCTACCACGCCCAGCTGATTTTTTTATTTATTGTAGAGATGAGGTCTCGCTCCCCAGGTGGGTCTCAAACCCACAGGCTCAGGCAATCCACTCACCTCAGCCTCCCAAAGGCATGGGATTACAGGCTGAGCCACCGAGCCTGGCTCCCTCTTTTTAGAATGATATAAAATGTGTTGTTTTTCTCCCTTTACTTTTTACCTTGGCTTCAGTATTTCTGGAAATTTCTTGCTTCTTGAGAAAGGACTGTTGGAAGAATTTTATCCCTTTCTCTGGATTCCAGCAACACAACTGTAATCCAACCCAGTTCTTCCCTTATTTCAGCCCTAAATTTTTCTCCTTTCTTTCCACAAATACTAATTTCAGCAAAAATATGACATGTAAACATGAAGTTTTAAAAAATCTCACGGAAGATTCTAACCAACTGTTACTCCCCCTTCCCCCCACAAATGTCCCTGCCCTCAGAAAGTAAGTAACTTTGGGGGCACCGAACTCTTTAATGCTTTGGGACAACCCCCATAAGGTTTGGTGTAGCTCTTTTTGTTATAACTCTGAAATAGCTTAGAGAAATCACCATTAGAGCATTTACATCAGGGCTGTTACTCATTTCTGCAGGTGTTAAAGGCGCTCTCTTAGCCATTAAATAAACCTGGGGAAAACTAGACTGTAAGGAGTTCTGGTAAGAGGTGGCCAGTAGCACGCTTTCTCACTCCAGTGGACTAGCCCTGTATAGAGTATAGTCTCCACACAGGAACAGTTTGAGAACTAGATTACAGGTCCTGCCTTTGAGATGATCTAGGGCCTAGTAATTACTGTATCTCATATTGCACAGTTCTTTAGGGTCTTTTTTGGATTTGTTTTGATTTTTTTTGAGTTGGAGTTTCACTCTGTCGCCCAGACTGGAGTGCAGTGGCACACTTCTGGCCACCGCAGTCTTGCCCTGCTGGGCTCTGGTGATCCTTCCACCTCAGCCTTCCAAGTAGCCGGAACTACAGGTGCACGCTACCACGCCTGGCTGATTTCTTGATTTATTGTAGAGATGAGGTCTCGCCAAGTTGCCCAGGCAGGTCTCGAACCTGCGGGCTCAAGCAATCCACTTGCCCCGGCCTCCCAAAGCGCTGGTATTACAGGCCAAGCCACCGAGCTGGGCCAGTTCTTTAGTTTAAAGCAGGGTGTTTCTCAACTGGTGGGGGAAAGGGGATTTTTCCTCTAAAGGACATTTAGCAATCTCTGTTTAGAATTAAACATTTTTGATTCTCAGAATGAGGGAGGCATGTTACTGGCATCTAGTGGGTAGAAGCCAGGGATGCTACTAAGTCTCCTGTAATGCACAAAACAGCCCTGTACCACAAAGGATTATCCAGCACAAAATGTCAGTAGTGCCTGGGTTGAGAAACTCTGGCCTAAAAATTAAAAAGCAGTCTCACGTCTATCATCTTAGTTGACTTTATGAGATTATTTGTAGTATTTCTTGTTTATACCACTAGAGAGTTGGGTCCTATGTCCTGTCTACTTCTGCATTCCCTGCATCTAGACTGTACATGTAAGTGACAACTTAGTAAATATTTAAATTTAAATAAATTAATTAATAAAAGCTATTCATCCAGTATAAATAACGGATTAGCATGAATAGAATAGATCATGTTAGTTGGCACCATTATTCCACTGTTGTGCAACATGTGACTTGTGTTCTTTTTAAGTCACTTAATTCATTGGTCTCATATATAAAATGTTCTGGACTCAGTGCTTCTCAAAATTTTACCTAGTTTATGGTGAAGGAAATGATATTAAATGCTGAGTAGAGGCAGGGTGTACAGCGGTGTGATGTTTCATGGTTTTGAAAGAAAACATGGTTTCTTTGAAAAACTGAATATTTCAGCTTGGCCAGAACATAGATTTTTATCATACTCTATTTGACATGGTAAGGGATCTATGGGGGTGAATCCTTCCCATGGGGGTAGAAACCCATAATTGGGGCAGAATATTGGATTTTTAAGAAGACTCAGCTGGGCTCAGTAGCTCATACCTGTAATCCAGCACTTTGAGAGGCTGAGGAGGGAGGATTGCTGATGTCAGGAGTTTGAGACCACCCTGGGCAATATAGTGAGAGCTTGTCCCTACAAAAAAAAATTAGCTGGGCGTGGTGGCATGTACCTGTAGTTCCAGCTAATCAGGAGGCTGAAGAGAGAGGATCACTTAAACCCAAGAGGTCAAGGCTGTGGTGAGCCATGATTGTGGCACTACACTCCAGCCAGGGTGACAGAGTAAGACTTCAACTCAAAAAAAAAAAAAAGACAACTAAATGAATATGAGTACAAGTAAAAGGAAGTACCTATTAAAAACCTAGAGTAAACTTAATTTACTCTTAGTCTTTTTGCCTCGGCATAGCCATTTCTGCTTAGTGTTTACCCCTAACACTCTCTGAATCTAGCACAGGTTAGATAGACATAGATAAGTTTCCAATAGGCAGGTTTTAGGAAGTGTTCAGACATTCTACTGCAGGCCAAGTGGCAGCCTACCTCACCCCCTTGGCAAATCTCCATCAGTTGCAAGACAAGGACAGAGCCATAGAAATGATAATAGACCACCTTCTGGTCCAGGAGTTTGTGAATTGCAAATGTCTGGCAAGTCTCTTGCAGAAAAAATCCCTCAGGGCCCAAATCCCCAAGTTAACCTAAATCAACCCTTTGTGACCTTCATGGCACTGACAGACTCCCCACCATGGCAGCAATTATGTGACTAACCCACCCATCTGACTGCTGTCCATCACCTGACATAAGTACCTGCGCTTACCTGCCCTTTGTAATAACGTGGAGCAGACCACCACCCAATCACCTTAATGACCTTCTCCCATCCAAGGGAAATGGTTAAAAGGACTCAACCACAGACAGCCATTTTGCCATTGCCTTGCTAAGCTAAGCTATGGTGTGGCCATGTGGTCTTTGAGCTATGGCCAGGCCATGTTTTCTTAAGCTTTGGCCCCCTCCCCTACCATGGGGAGGTGAATCACCTCTTTTTCTCTCTCTCTAATTTGCTTTCTAAATAAACTATATTCTTTAATCTAACATTTGTGCAATTCTTTGCATCTTTCATGCAGCATCAGATTGCACACCAGACACTCACACCCCCAGTGGGCCTGACCTAACATTCTGGAGGCCACACTGGGAGAGTGTGACCCTAACAACAAGTTAACTGGTAAAATCTGAATAAGATCTGTGAATTGTATCAGTGTTTATATCCTGGTTGTGATATTGTACTATAGTTTTACAAAATGTTATTTTTGGGAGAAGCTGGGTAAAAGGTACAAAGATTTTTGTATTCTTTCTTTTTTTTTTTTTTTGAGTTGGAGTCTCACTCTGTCACCCAGACTGAAGTGCAGTGGCCGCTGCCGGCCACTGCAACCTCGACCTGCTGGGCTCCAGCAATCCTTTCACCTCAGCCTTCCAAGTAACTGGAACTACAGGTGCACGCTACCACACCCAGCTAATTTTTTGATTTTATTGTAAAGATGAGGTCTCACCAAGTTGCCCAGGTGGGTCTCGAACCCGCGGGCTCAGGCAGTTCACTCACCTCAGCCTCCCAAAACACTGGGATTACAGGCTGAGCCACCAAACCCAGCCTTCTGTATTATTTCTTTTTTTTTTTTTTGAGTTGGAGTCTCACTAAGTCACCCAGACTGGAGTGCAGTGGCCGTTCCCGACCACTGCAGCCTCGAACTGCTGGGCTCCTGTGAGCTTTCTGCCTCAGCCTTCCAAGTAGCTGGAACTACAGGTGGGCGCTACCACGCCCGGCTAATTTTTTTGATTTATTGTAGAGATGAAGTCTCGCCAAGTTGCCCAGGTGGGTCTCGAACCCGTGGGCTCAGGCAATCCACTCACCTCAGCCTCCCAAGGCGTGGGATTACAGGCTGAGCCACCGAGCCCGGCTGCTGTATTATTTCTTATAACTAAGTGTGAACCTATAATTATCTCAAAAGTTTCAACGGAAAACAAATGAGTTCATTATATTAAATGAAATAAGCCAGTCACAAAAGGACAAATACTGCATGATTTCACTTCCACCTAGAGTAATCAAATTCAGAGAAAATAAAATGTTAGTTGCCAGGGGCTGGGGAGTGGGGAGTATTGTTTAATGGGTACAGAGTTTCAGTTTGAGAAGATGAGAAAGTTCTGGAGATGGGTAGTGGTGAGTGTACTTTTTTTTTCTCGAGTCTCACTCTGTCACCCAGGCTGGAGTGCAGTGGTGCAATCGGCTCACCACAGCCTTGACCTCCTGGGTTTAGGTGATCCTTCTGCCTCAGGCTGTTGAGTAGCCGGTACTACAGACATGTGTCACCATGCCTGGCTAATTTTTTTGATTTTTTTTGTAGAGACCTAGCTATGTTACTTAGGCTGATTTTGAACTCCTGGACTCAAACAGTCCCCCCACCTCGGCCTCCCAGAGTGCTGGGATTACAGACATGAGCCACAACTGAGAACAGCCATTGTGTTTTATTAGAATCTAGAGAAGCAGTTATTTTGTGGGGCTGGGTTCACTGACTCAGCCTGTAATCCCAGCACTTTGGGTGGCTGAGGCAAGTGGATTGCCTGAGCCTACGGGTTCGAGACCAACCAGACAACTTGGCAAGACCTCATCTCTACAAAAAATCAAAAATTAACTGGGCGTGGTAGCACACACCTGTAGTTCTAGCTACTTGGTAGACTGAGGCGGAAGGATCACCGGAGACCAGCAGGTGAGTGTGAGTGTGCTGTGAGTGTGCTGTGCTGTGAGTTAGTGTGATGCCCAGCAGGTGAGTGTGAGTGTGCTGTGCTGTGAGTTAGCTGTGAGTGTGCTACTGCTCTCCAGCCTGGGCAACACAGTGAGACTCCACCTCTGGGTTATGCCGCTGCTCTCCAGCCTGGGCAACAGAGTGAGACTCCAACAAAGGAAGGAAGGGAGGGAGGGAGGGAGGGAGGGAGGAAGGAAATAAGGAAATTGTGGAAGGAAGGGCCAAGTGGTGCATGCCTATAACCCCAGTTACTTGGGAGGCTGAGGCAGGAGGATCACTTGATCCCAGGAGTTCATAACCATCCTGGGTAACATAGTGAGACCCTATTTCTAATTGTTTTTTGTTTCATTATTTTATTATAAAAGAAAGACATGAAAATTATTTACATGATGAAAGATTTCACAACTTTGGTGGAATGGGCAGTTTCATGCTGATGCCATTTCAACAGCGTTTTGCTTCAGTTCACATACTTCCAAGAATGTCACCATCTCTAAATAAGAAATAATCCAGCCGGGCTCGGTCGCTCAGCCTGTAATCCCACGCCTTTGGGAGGCTGAGGTGAGTGGATCAAGCCCGCGGGTTCGAGACCCGCCTGGGCAATGAGACCTCATCTCTACAGTAAATCAAAAAATCAGCCGGGCATGGTAGCGCATGCCTGTAGTTCCGGCTACTGGGAAGGCTGAGGCGGAAGGATCGCCGGAGCCCAGCAGGCGAGGCTGCGGTGGCCGGGAGTGGCCACTGCACTCCAGTCTGGGCGCCAGAGTGAGACTCCGACTCAAAAAAAAAAAGAAATAACCCTTGTCGTCTAGAACTACTTTGGTGCCTCCATCTTCTGGGAGAAGAACTTTATCTCCAACCTTCACAGTAAGAGGTTGAATCTCTCCAACGGCCTGAGCCAATGGCCACTACTGTCGCTTGCAATGCCTTTCCCTGAGATTTTACTGGAAGCATAATGCCTCCCTTGGTTACAGTTTCGACTGCGCTCCTTTCAACCAGTACTCTGTCAAAGAGCAGAAGAAGCTTTCTAAATGCTTGTCCTGCCATGACTCCTGCCTGTTAGCTACAGCTCTCATGCTGCCTGCCAGGCCCTATCTCTAATTAAAAAAAAAAAAAAGCCGGGCTTGGTAGCTCAGCCTGTAATCCCAGCGCTTTGGGAGGCTGAGGTGAGTGGATTGCCTGAGCCCACGGGCTTGAGACCCGCCTGGGCAACTTGGCGAGACCCCATCTCTACAGTAAATCAAAAATTAGCCGGGTGTGGTAGCACGCGCCTATAGTTCCAGCTACTTGGAAGGCTGACGCAGAAGGATCGCCGGAGCCCAGCAGGTTGAGGTTGCAGTGGCCGAAAGTGGCCACTCCCCTCCAGTCTGGGTGACAGAGTGAGACTCCACCTCAAAAAATAAAAATTAAAAAATAAATAAATAAATAAAGTGTATCATGGGATGGGAAGTAAGTGATGTGACAGTAGCTATAATGAGAAACAGGGGTCACAAGCCTTGCTGGGGTTGTATTTCATGGTAGTCTGGGGCAGCTAAAAGTGTGTATATACACTACCCACGTGGAAGAAATTAAAGTAATTGTGTGTGTTTGCCAGAGCGTTTCTTCTAATGATTGGGAAGTCATAGATGGTACAAGGATCCTGGAGATAATATTCCAAACTGTAAAATTAGATTTTCCTTTTTATAAGGTAAATCCAGTATATTCATAACAATGATGGGAGAGGTCAAATCCAGATGTCCTGTATTCATTCACTTAACAAATATTTGTGTCCATACTCTGTACCAGTTACTATTCTGTGCACTAGAGCTATAGTAAGGAGCAAGAAGGACAAGCTGCTTGTTTTCCAGGGTTGGATATTCTGTGAAGTGAGACACTAGAACATGAGTAAGCCAATAAATTAATAAGCTAAGTTCAGAAAATAAGTGGTAGGTAAACAAGCAGGAGCAGCATGAAGAAACTTCTGGGGTGATGATGTGTTCGTTAGCTTGATTATGATAATGGTTTCACCAGTATATACATGTGCCAAAGTGTATCCAACTGTGCATTTTAAATATGTGCAGTTCATATGTCAGTCATACCTCTGTAAAACTCTAAAAAAAAAACCCAACAAAAATGGGCAATAGGTCAGGGTAATTCGGATTGTATGGTTAGAGAAGACCTCCTAAGAAGGCCACCTGTGGAGCTGAATACCAAGAAGGAGCTGGCCGTGCCCAGATATGAGGGTAGAGAAGACTTATGCCGCTTGAGGAAGGCAAGAAGGCATGAGTGTTTCTCAAGCATAATGAGCCAGGGGGGAGACTAGGACCATATAGGGCCCTGAAGGCCATGGTTAGGACAGCATCCAGCCGCTTTCATATCTTTTTTTTTTGAGTTGGAGTCTCACTGTCGCCCAGACTGGAGTGCAGTGGCCGCTCCCGGCCACCACAGCCTCGACCTGCTGGGCTCTGGCAGTCCTTCCGCCTCAGCCTTCCAAGTAGCTGGAACTACAGGTGCACACTACCACGCCCGGCTAATTTCTTTTTTTTTTTTTTTTTTTTTATCATAGAGATGAGGTCTCACCTGCCCAGGCGGGTCTCGAACCCGCGGGCTCAGGCAATCCACTCACCTCAGCCTCCCAAAGGTGTGGGATTACAGGCTGAGACACCAAGCCCGGCTTGCTTTCATATCTCTTAGGAGTCAGACCAGGAACCAGAGACAGAGAAGCACTGCCGAGCAGCCTAGTCTGCAACCTAATGAGAGTGCTTCTCTCTCTTTTTTTTCTTTCTGGCATTCCAGCTAGGGAGCAGTGTAAAGTGTAGAAAAATGGGGGTGAGAATGTGCCTGGGCCCATTCAGCTTTTACCTTCTTTATGTTCTTTTCCACTACAGCTTTTCCTTCCCTCCATGAGAAAGAAGCCATCTTTGGCTGAAGGCAGCAATCCTGAAGGCGATCTCCTCCAGGAGCACTGGCTGGTTGATGATATGTTCATCTTTGAGAACGTGGGCTTCACCAAGGATGTGGGCAACATCAAGTTTCTTGTCTGCGCAGACTGTGAAATTGGACCAATTGGCTGGCATTGCCTTGATGACAAGAACAGTTTCTACGTGGCCTTGGAACGGGTTTCCCATGAGTAAAACTGAAGGGAGGGGGACTCAGCTCCACCCTCAAATACAAAGCTAATCCCCATAAGAACTGGCATTTAAACTGGTATAACTGTCTGCTGCATTCTTCTCTGTGCTAATATAAATGATGAATACCAGCATGTCCACTTGAACATGCAGAGGGTTAATCCTGCTTCCTAAAGCCTGGAGGACATACCTCTTGCTTAGTTCACTTTGTACCACAACATTTTCCAATCTCCCTTTTCTCCCAGTTGTGAGACACTGTTGTACCTTCACCAATCCAGTCTCATCCCTGGCATTCTGCCTAGGCTCTGTTTTCTCTGAGGGGCTCCCTTTTATCTTGCTCTGGAAGAGCAGTATTCAAACTTTTGACCATGATGATGCACGATGGAAGATGCTTATGTGCTGATAGTTGAAACTCCATCTTCCCCTCTCCTTCAAGCATACGAATATCTGAGAGTGACTGTTGTATGGCTAACCTTGTTATCTGCAGTAATTTTCAAAGCATTTACAAATTTCGGTATTTAACCCAGTAATCAGAAACACATTACTTTGAACACATCTCTAATACAATGTTTGGGAACCTCTGCTCTTGGTTGATAATGACATTTTATTGTGAAGATGAATGTGATCTCTCTTCCCTTCAAATCTTGATGTGAGCCAGGTGTGGTGGCTCACACCTGTAATCTCAGCACTCTGGGAAGCAGAGGTGAGAGGGAGGACTCTTTGAGCCCAGGGGTTTGAGACCAGTCTGAACAACATAGCTAGACATTCTTCAAAAAAATTAGCTGGGTGTGGTGGTGCACACTTGTAGTCTCAGCTACTCAAGAGGCTAAGGAGGGAGAATCGCTTGAGCCCAGGGATTCAGTGCTGCACTGAGCTATGATCATGTCACTGCACTCCAATCTGGGTGACAGAGTGATACCCTTACTCAAAAAAAAAAATCTTGATGTAGTTTCTCTTTATATTAGCTCTTCACTGCTACAGCCTATAAGTTAAGAATCAGATTTCCCATCCCATCTGGTACCCACTCAAGAAAGATTCTGCCCTTGCTGTTTACCCAGGCAAGTAGTCAGAGAGGAGGGTGTAGGTTATATGAGGGATAGGTCTTTGACAAATTATGCACGAGTTTATAGGTTTATTTCATCTGGACACACAATTTCCTTTGTTCTTAGAAAAGACTAATGGATAGTATCATTTACTCAACCTACTGGACATGGTCCTCACAGAGCTTTGGTTCAACTGGAATCTCTGTGCCAACCCAGAGTATAAACTTTCCATCCAAATGCCTTTATTTCTATAGCTGTGGGGTTGCTCTAACAATTTGATATTAACAAATCTATTTAAGCCTTCAACTTGATTTCTAATTATTCTGTCATCTCTATTCTGAAATGGCTTCCCATCTTTGATGGAATCTATGTAACCAGATTTTGGGTATACTCCTATCATCCCTACCTCTAAGATTTAGAAGGCTTGAAACAATTAAGGACTAAATAGAGACCTAACCAGTTGAAGTCCCTTCCTTTGCATCTGTTTTCTGGTTGCTTCCTACTTCAAATGTCCCTATTTCAAACATTCTAAGGGCTCACCCACTAATGTGCAGGCCTTGGCACAGTTTTGCAACCAGTCCACCCTCCTAGAAAGGTGGCTTTCTTGCTCAGTCCACCTGAATGAGCCCCAGTAGAAAATGCGAGAACTGTACTTTCCAGACAAATGGTCAAGTATCCATTATTATGCTGTTTGCAGAAAAACAATTATCCACTCAGGTCAGAGGGAACAAAACCAAGTCAATGTCTCAAGGGGCATGCAGCCCCTCATATCACAAGCCAAAACTTAAGCTAAGCATTTTTTAATTAAAGAAACATTTTTGGTTTTTTTATCACAAAAATAGTACATGTTCATTGCAGATAAATTTGAAAATAGGTATAAAGTTTTTTTTAATTACTCATACTTCCATCATCCAGAGATTGCCAATAGTAATGTGTTATATACCCTTCTCAGTGTTTTTCTATATATATATGTAAACATGTATCGCTTTTTAAAAAACAAATGAGGTTATGCTTTTATAATTTGCTTTTGTCATTTAACAAAATGTGAAATCTTCCCATATCAGTAGATATCCATCTACGTATACCATTGTTATTAGTATTCTATTGTATTGCTGTACTGTAATTTATTTGGACAATCTGCTATTAGGTTGTCTTCAGCTACTTATAAGCAATGATATAATGTGTAACCTTATAGTTAAATCTTCAATCTGCATTCTTAATTATTTCCTTGGCATACATTATTAGATGTGGAATTGCAAGGTATGTACATTTTCAAGGCTTTGCTGTAACACATATTCTTCAACAACAACAACAAAAAAACTGTAACTTACCCTCCTCCAGCAGTGTAAAAGAACACTCATTTCTCTGGACATTACTAACACTGGGTATTTATTATTATTAAAAATATTTTGCCAAATTAAATATTTTATAAAAGCTGATGCTTTCTCAAGTAAACTCAATAGTTCTATGAAATTGATGCTCTCTTTAATCACTGCTAGCAGATGATCAGGAAAAAGACAAATGTCATGGTATTTCTTACAAGAGCACCTAACAGTCAAGTCTACATTCCTGTAATTTACCTGGAAATTTGAAAAGAAATTCCATGATATTTTTCTCAGAATTTAGTCCACATCATTCAATAGAATTATTGGCATGACTCATCAGCAACAACAAGAAATTTGCCAGCTGGGTGTGGTGGCTTGTGCCTGTAATCCCAGCACTTTGGGAGGCCAAAGCAGGGGCATCGGTTGACCCCAAGGGTTCAAGAGCCTAAGAAACAGTGAGACCTCATCTCTACAAAAAAATTAAGAAATATATTTTGTCACTTTGATAAAGAAAATATAGTATCTCATTCTTTTAATTTGCATTTATTTTGTTTGTAATGAAACTTTTATATCTGTATTGGTCATTTGTGTTTATTTTTTTGAGAATTACCAAATATTGTTACTTCAGTAGCCAAAACTATCGAGTTGCTATTCTGCCTTTTCAGTTTGATTTGAAAGAAATAAAGACATTTATGCAGTGGAAATTAGATTCCTATGTGTCCTTGGGAGGAATACGTAATCTGAAAAAGCAGAGGAGAGCTGAAACCCAAACTTTAGGGTTCAGCTTGAGTCTGTCAGCTAATTGCTGTTAAATGCAATTGTCATCTCTTCCTTCCTCTCACATAATAGGCTCTCAATAAATACTTGTGAATTAGTTAACTGCTACTTGCAGTAGGTAGATAGGTAGATAGGTACTTGCTGCTATGACTGTAGAAACCTGCAGTTTCTAGTTGGGAGAGCAGTTGATTTTGCCAAGGCCTAATTGTTACAAATTTTTCATTTTAATAAAAAGAAAAAAATAAAAATATATTTTAAAAAAATGTTAACACAGAATCAAAATGGGCAATGGTATACTGGCATTTTGTATATTATTGTTGTTGTCTTGAGTTGGAGTTGTCTCTATTGTTGTTGTCTCTATTGCCCGGGCTGGAGTGCACATGCTCACTGCCATGGCAGCCTCGATCTGCTGGGCTCAGGCGATCCTTCCACCTCAGCCTTCCAAGTAGCTGGAACTACAGGTGCGATTTACCATGCCCAGCTAATTTTTTGATTTATTGTAGAGATAAGGGCTTGCCAAATCGCCCAGGCTGGTCTCAAACCCGTGGGCTCAGGCAGTCCTCTCACCTTGGCCTCCCAAAGTGCTGGGATTACAGGCTGAACCCCTGCACCTGGCCTTTACATTTATTTATTTATTTAGTCGGAGTCTCACTCTGTCGCCCAGGCTAGAGTGCTATCATGCTCACAGCCTCAACCTGCTGGGCTTAGGAGATCCTTTGTCCTCAGCCTTCCAAGTAGAGAGAGTATCTTAATGTGGCTGTGACTGTAGCAAAGTCTTCAGAGAAAGAAAATAAAGATGTCAACCACAGTGGATGCTAACCTTTCAATTGTGACCAAAGTTTTGTTGTGTTTGGAAAAACAAATTCCAGGAAATATGTGTCTAAGTGTCTGAATTGAGAGGTAAGTGGCAAAAGTTCACGATATCTTAAAGTTAGTTGAAACTTAGAATGCATTTTGCCTTAGATAGAAACAATGTTACATATGTTAAGTAGTTTGTAACCTATGACACAAACCTTGTATGTATACCCAAAGCATAGTGCTGTAGCAAATGATTCTGATCTAGAATCCTGGGAACAAGTCCTCCGCTGCCATGAGAGCAGGGTCTCTCCAAAATCCAAAGCTGGTGACTCCAGACAGTCTATTTCAAGTTGGGGACCAGGATGAACTGTGACCTAGATAGCCATGGAGAATCCATTGAGGAGACAGAATGTGGGCTGGGAACATTTAAGGCTCCAAGGAGGTAGGAGGAGAGTGAGCAACTCCCATGGGTTTATACATTAACCCTTCTCCCCTTTGTCCTGAGTAGACCTGATATGAGAGGTAAAATAGAAATTTGTTGGAAACTGGAGGTTTTCTCCTAGGGAGAAGTTGCCCCAGTCAAATGGAAAATAAATTTCAAGCTAAGGGAGAGGTGGGGAGTGGGGAAAAATTCAAGCTAAGACAATTGGAGGAGAAATTGAACTCATGTAGACACTCAGGTGGGGCAACTATACTAAGGTGAGTATTTGTAACTCTGTCATTTGAAAGTCAGGCACTGCCTGTTTGAGGGGGAAACCCAAAAAAACCCGAAATTATCTTTTGGAGGGCCGACCCCTTGTAGTACAGGCTTCCCCTACTAGGTAAGTGTTCTAGGAACCCATCAGTCTCAGTGTACCAGCTAGCATTGTTGTGAGAGGCTGCATTCAGCCTCAGGAAAAAATTGTTTTGGAGAGTGTTTCAATGTGTTTTCACATTTCAGGTTGGGTGATTTACGAGCACACCTTCCCACATTGCACTGAGTGTTCAGCAGTTTTTGACCAAAAATGGCGTGCCCCCTACACCACACCCTCCCTGTTCACCTGATCTCACCCAGTGACATGTTTTTGTTTCCCTGAATGAAAAGAGTCCTCAAAGGAAAATTTTTTGTTTTTGTTTTTGTTTTTGTTGGAATTTCACTGTAGTCCTGAGCCTCGACCTGCTGAACTCAGGTGATCCTTCTGCCTTGGCATTCCAAGTAGCTGGAACTACAGGTGTGCGCCACCAAGCCTGACTAATTTTTTGATTTATTGTAGAGATAAGTTCTCACCAAGTTGCCCAATCTGGTCTCAAACCCCTGAGCTCAGGCAATTCTCTCACTTTGGTCTCTCAAAGTACTGGGATTATAGGCGTGAACCACCACACCTGGTAGGGAAACATTTTTTTGAGTCAGAGTCTCACAGCCACCACAGCCTTGACCTACTGGACTCAGGTGATCCTTCTGCCTCAGCCTTCCAAGTAGCTGGAACTATAGGCACACTCCTCCACGCCCGGCTAATTTTTGATTTATTGTAAAGACGAGGTCTCACCAAGTTGCCCAGGCTGGTCTCAACCCCCTGGACTCAGGCAGTCCTCTTGCTTCAGTCTCCCAAAGTGCTGGGATTACAGGCATAAGCCACTGTGCCTGACTAAAGGGAAA